GTCTATGTCTATATCTATATCTATATCTATATCTATATATCTATATCACATCTAAGAATAACTATATGATTCGATAGGGCCACTATAAGGTTAAACATGAAGGATGTGTGGGATTTGCCAGGTGAAAATAACAAAATAAGGACATATGCATCAAATCAAAGGCTTTCAAAGCTGAAACTTAACGGCTTATCAATTTTTACCTTAATATGTTGCTAGTTTGTATCACTTTTCTAGTAACCTGATAAGCTCAGATTTCAATACATCCAGAAGATGAAAGAACATTCAATAAAGAATAAATATAAGCATGGCACATGGAGCCATTAATACAATATTCTGAAAATTTCTCTCCCCTGTTCAAAACCACTGAATGGCTCTTTGCTGACTAAAAATAGTGTAAACTTTTCAGCTTCTCTTTTTCTAATCTACTGCACTTTTCCCTTCTAAACTGAGGGAATGTGGCTTTACTCAAGGACAACTGGACAAATTAGAAGCATTTCAAAGGACTCATAACTAAAGACTAATAATACATTGACCTGCTAGAAAGTTTCAGTGATGTTACTGGGCTATGTTCTTGGTCTTTGTCTTTAAGTTATCAAAGAAAATCCGTAAACAATATGCTCATCTAGCAATTGAATAACATTTATTGGAAAGGATAATGACAATATTAAATACTATCAGAAATATTAATGTTCTTGATAAGCTAGAGAGAGAGTCCTAATTAAATAAGATAAACAGTCTTGCCCTTGGATCTTAAAAAGTACCCACACATATATAGAATGGGTTGGAAGTGAAAAAGAAGTTTAAAGAATGTTAGTTGATAATAAGGTTAAATTTTCCTGTTCTGCCTCCTGTCTGAATTTCCCTGCTTCAGAGTGCAGAGAAATTACCTGTTGGGACCAAATAAAGGACCAAAGCAAGTAGGGTACCAGGACCAGGACTTCTTTCTTTACACACCAGTGCTGCCTATAAATCCTGGCCCAAGGATGGAGATTTTGGTCCACTTCCATGATGCTATCAGACAGTCTACCCTCGAATACCCCCATGTGGTGGCTAGACTGAATACCTTCACATCCTAGGGAACCTGTGTGTATGTCTTTGATCACTAAGGGTCTAAATTCTGTTCACTCTTATTAAGAAAGAATCTGTGAAATAACCTGGCTCTCCACGTGTCTGTTCACAATTTTCATCCTGTAATATGTACTTTTTGCCCTGTTATCCTAATAGATGCCCTTTGGAGACTGTTATGGTTTGGGTTTAGATGTCCCCCCAAAGCCTCATGTAGTCATGGGGTAGGCTTCTAGAGTTTGTGATTAATTCATGATCCAATGCTGGGATTACAGGTATGAGTGCTACACCAGCCCTGGGGTGGGTAGCCTGAATGCAATATAAGGAAGGGAAGAGGCTTGCTCTGTGTCCCTGCTCCTTCATTTTTACTCTTTCTGTTTTGTTGGTTTCCTGCCTTCTGCCATGTACCACTCTGCCTTGCAGCCAGTTGATTATGGACTGCAACTCTCACGAACTGTGAGCTAAATAAACCTTTCCTTCATTATATTTTGGATGTCAGTCATTTTGTCCAGCAATGAGAGAAAAGTAACCAAGATAGATAATGATACCTAACCTCTGCTCTACCATACTCCTTTCCTGTGGAGAATTTCTTAATTCTTCTCTTTTATATTCCCCTTAAGTCTATTTCCCTGGGCTTGAGTTCACTCTTCTGGCATACATGCACACCTAGCATCATACTAGATGCTAATCCTCTTCTGGAATTAACTGGAAAATACAATTATTATAAAGGTTCTAGAAAGAACACCAGAGGAAGACTGAAAAGAGGTGTAAGACAAGAGGAAAAGAAGAGTATGGCATTTCTAGAGCTAAGGGGACTGTTTTTCAGGAAGCATTTTTATTTCCATATGGCCCACTCTTTTTCCAGCTCCTTGGCAGTTCCTTCCTCATATTTATGCTCCTTTAATGACTTACACTGGTGAGCCAATTTATAATCACCCATGAGTGTCATGTTCACTTTCTCAACACACTCATACTTCAAGGTTTTTACATTAACCATTTCCTCTGCTGAAATGTTATTCCAAAAGTCTTGCTTCCTTTTCCCTTTCAAATGTCTACTTAAGACTGAGCCACTTTGTCAATAAAATGTTCTCTGACCAGCCTATTTAAAATGAAAACCAACTTACCAATACTCTTAACTCTTCTTCCCTGCTTTAATTTTTTTTTTGTATTTTAAGGAAGGATCTACATGGTGTTCAGGGTCTCACTATTAGATCGGACTTGTAGTGATGTGCCTGTTTACAGCCTTCCTAGAGCTGGGATTATAGGCACATGCACCACCACGCCCATTCTCAATTGCTGTCTCAGCACGCGCCGGTGGTGGGTCCAGCACAGCAGGCCTGGGGATCGAAACCCCAGCCTGTGCGTCTGCTTGCAGGCACTTTGATCCACTGAGCTATTTGACCGGCTCTGCTTTAATTTTTTGTATTGCAATTACCACTTTATTTTATTATTTGTGTCCCCAATAAAATGCATGTTACATAAAAGCATGGATTTTTGTTTGATTATTGTTATGTTCCCAACATTGTAACAGTGTATAGAATATAGTGGGTACTTTGTGAATATGTATTGGCTGAGTGACAGGAAAGAAGGGCTGAAAAAGACAAAGAAGTACTATACATCTGGCCACATAAAAGTCATTGAAGACTTTCACGACAGCAATTTAGTGGGACAGTATACTGGACAGAAGAGACATTGAATTATGTTGACAAGTGACCTGGGAAATAGCCTAAATGTATGTTAATAGAGGCATGGATCATTTTTGCCTTCTTTCTAGAATATTTACTGAGCAGATCTATGTGTAGAACGAACCAAACAAGGCAAGCCTGCTAGAAGATGTAGGCAGAGAAGTAGCATAGTGGGTCTTAGCTTTTGTCCTGCAAGACATGGTGGCAATACAGTAGAGTGGCTTGATCTGACTTGCACTGTCAACAGTCACTCTGCCTGTGGTGTGCAGAAGACAATAAACAGCAAAGGCTGAAGTGTGGAGACCAGATAGTAGCCTACTGTAGAGATCTAGATGAGAAATGATGGATTAGAAATACTTAGAATTCATTCAGAAAATAGATCTTACAGCCTCTGTTCACGAATTGGATGTGGAATAAAAATAGGTGTCAAAAGATAACATTTCAGGCCTAAGCAACAACAAGGATGGGGATTCCAGAAGCTGTGTGTGATTGGGAAAGCTTTAGGTAGAACAGCTTAGGGAAGAGGAACAGTTCAGTTTGGAACATGCCCACTTTGAGATGCTTATCATAGATCAGCATTAGGAATTAGGCAGTTGGACATACAAATTTTGGTAACAGGAAAGAGTTCTAGACTGACAATACAAGTTTGGGAGTCACCTATATAGAAACATACACTTCAAGCCACAGTGTGCATGGAGTCACCAAAGGAGTGACTGTCTGTAGACAAGGCCGTCAAAGATTGAGCCTAGAATGCTACAATACTTAGTGCTGGTAAGAAGGAACTTGAGCAGGAGCAACCAGCATAGGGCACGATGTTTCAGCAATTACATTTTTAAAAAAGTGATCCCAGAACATCTTCATTGTCATCAGAGGAGATTCCCACTTTCTTACCTTTCTATTTCTGTGATCTTCCTTGAGGACTAAGGGAATTAAACTTAATGATTTATGTCTCTGTACTAGTGGGTGAAAGTACTGTGCTACAAACTCCATCACTCACCATCATCACTAACACCATCCTCATATCACAAGCTAGTGATTTTGAGCACTCACTGTGACCTAAACAATATTCTAAGTACTTTACAAGTATTATCTCTTTTAATCTTCTGTTTAATCCCATTTATTTATTTATTTATTTATACAGAGTCTCACTACACAGATCGGACTAGCAGTGATCCTCCTGTTTTCAGCCTCCCAAGTGCTGACATTACAGGCACATGCCACCACACCCAGTCTCAATCACCATCTCCGCGTGCCCCGGGGGCAGGGCCAGCACGGCACACCAGGGATCAAACTCCTGTCCTTGTGCCTGCCTAAGCAGGTGCTTTAGTCTGCTGAGCTAC